ATAGAAATTAAAAGTTTACTTTTAAAATGTATTTCTAAGTAGAATTTTATACCTCTATTATTTTAATAATTTTGATAAATCATATTTTAACCTTAACATTGTTCACATTTTTAAAAGGATGTTTGAAAGTTTGTATCACCAAAACAACAGCATAAAATAAAAACTTGGTATTATTCTGATATTTCTGATATTACATAGATATTACCACAGAAATATTTAATTCAGTATTTTTGTTTATACAACATTTACTCATAAGATTCAAACCTTAAAACATTTTATTTAGGCAGAGCTCGAAGTTGAAATAGTCACCATTGCCTGAATTTACTGTCACTACCTACTGAAAGAAAGAGTTATAAAACTACAGGAACAATGAATCTCAAATATGGGCTCTTGTTGCTAATGTCTTAATGTAACTTCTGCATAATTAACAGCAATATTTGAGCATAAAATTCCTCATTCTCAATAGTATAATAATTCAGATCCTGTGCATCTTTCTAAACACAGAAACACTTGGGTTACGGCATCAGCGATTAAACAGTGATGCCATGAACTTCTGTGGAAAGTCCAAAAATTTTGGTTTCTAGCCATCTGTCAAAATATTGACAGAACCTCCAAAATAAAAATAGTAGACCACTTCATCTAAATTAATTTCTTAGAAAAATATAATATCCTCACCAATTAAAAATGGCAGCTCAAAAAATGACTAATTTCTGAACCCTTAAAGTTAGAGACACCACTCAAAATATCTAGTGCCATTTAGGTGCTATATTGAAATATTCTTATTCTCATTTAATAGGCCTAATAGTTTGGTGCAGAATCAAAAACTACTGAAATATATCTATATGTAAATACACTTGGCTTAGATTTCATTCTTTTAAGGAATCAGATGTAACATTAGTTCCTTGATCTGAATCGCTTCTCAGTGAGGAATCACAGATTCAAATGTCAGCAGAGCTCACATGTGACATAAATGTGTGAAATGGGAATGTGTTTAGTAGCATTTAATTGGAGAGCATACACTTCACTTAAAAAGCACAGCAGATACTCAATGCAAGTCAATTATTTTCATGCAAGTTTGTGAACCCACATTCTAGATCATCTAACTTCATAAGAAAAGCCCTGGTTTTTAATGTGAAGTCTCTAAATATTTGCCTGCAAGCAACTGAGTCAATAGTAAAAGGAACCTGTGTGACCCCCACTCCCCCTCACAAAATTGCCTGTTGACCACATCTGTATACTGATGACATCTGTATTAAAGATTACTGGAAGGAAATCTGTGATCGATAATGTTAGAGACTTGCACTTTAGATACCAAAAGCTATTGATAGATATTCCTGCTTTACCATTTGGAAAATAAAAATACCTCTTAATTGGAGTATTTAAATACTTGGTTTTGTCATCTCATATAGATTCTTCTTTTGCATAGCTATATATTCTCAGAGGAATTTGATGCATAATATTAGTACCATGATAAAATAAATACTGAAGCACTTTTAACTTACGTTATATTGGTCTTCAGTTTGTTTTGAGAGGTGTCTGGAAAAGGTAGCTTGGCCAATACAAGTCATAAAACAACACAGAGTACTGTCATTTATGATATAAAAGCCATACCAAGAACAACATACTCTTAATATCTTATTTGGTTTTACTCAGTACAGACATCCTTATCAATTTACAGTTTAAGTTAAAAAAATTTCTCTAGCATAACTTGGACAACAAATACTCATAGTATAGCTCATACTCCAATGTATTACATATAGCATTTTAGAACAACAAACTTTTATTCACAAGGAGCTTACAGTTGTCACCTGTAATTAAAACATGGCCACCAATCAATATTATACAATACATTATTTATGTAGACCAAAAAGTAGACTTACAATTATGTGTAGATACATACAAACATATACATATCTGTGGATTAATAAATAGAGCACCATGACGATCAATAGGGAAAGCAATGAGTATATAACTTCATGCATATTAATAGAGTGATAGATTATTTAAGTCAGACTATCCGAGATTTTACTTCCCAACTGAGCCCTTCCCTCAACTCCAGTCTCTCAGTTTCCACTGCCTTCTTTCTATCTGTGCTTCTAGAAATGTGTGAAGAGGTGGTTCCTAGCTTAAAGATTTCCTTCAAACTTGTTGATCTTCCTAACTGTAAATTTAGTTGCAACCTTACACGGTCAGGTTTATCAAAAGCCAGATTCGTGTTGGCTGCCTCCAAGTACTATCAGTGTTGAAAAATCTTTCCAGTATGATTTGTAACTGATGAGTCTGGCTCCAGGCTAAATCCTATAGGTGATTTTTCAGACCCCATCATAGGCAATTACAAAGGCAGCACCTGGCAAACCAGGGAGCGGGGGTGTGGGAAGCTGTCTCCCAGATTTAGTGCATAGTGTGGGGAGAAGGACTTGAACCCCTTCTAACCCAAGGCCAGACATACAGCTGCAGGCCTTATCCAGGTGCCTCCTTTCAGAAGCCTCCTTATTGGACACTCTGGCCAAGGCCTCTCTTAGGTGCTTCTGCTGAGACCACCTTATCTGGTGGCCTTGAGGACATTTTTCTCTACTATGACTTTGTAGTACTTTTCTACTCCTTGTCTTTTCCTCTTTCCCTTCCCCTGGCCTGTCCTTGAGTCCTTTTTCCTCAATCCCTCTACCCCCCGAAAGAAGAAAAATCTTATTGGGGACAGGGAAAAATCCCCTGTCCCCACCCCTCCCAAAAAAACCAGCAGGAATCACTTGTTCATAGCTCCCTCAGTGGAGAGACTGTACCCTATTTCTGCACTGATACTTCTGATCTTTGCGCAGTGCCATTTCCTGAGAAAAAATGGGATATTAACAGAGCCAGTACCTTCTTTCTGGTTTTTTGTTTATGCTATCGTAGTAAGTGAGTAAAACCCTAATAAGTCCTTTCATTTTGACTTATTTTTTACTATTGTATTTTTTTCATTTCCATTTATTCCTCTTATACCCTCCTCACCCTTGCAGTCAACACACTGTTGTCCATGTCCTTGAGTCCTTTTTCCTCAGTCCCTCTACCCCCCGATGCAATCCCTTCAATAGCTGTCAGTTTGCTCTCTATTTATGAGTCTGTCTCTATTTTTTCTTTTTAGTTCAGTTTGTTCATTAGACTCCACATATAAGTGAAATCATATGTTATTTGTCCACGTCTGGAATGGCTTATTTCACTTATATAATGTCTTCCAAATCTATCCATACTGTTACGAATAAGATTTTTCTTCTTTTTCATGACTGAGTAGTATTCCATGGTGTACATGTCCCATAGTTGTTTTATCTGCTCATCTACTGATGGGCACTTGGGCTGCTTCTAAATTTTGGTGATTGTAAATAACACTGCAATGAACATAGAGGTGCTTATGTTCTTTGAAATTAGTGTTTTGAGTTCCTTTTGATATATTCCCAGAAGTGGGATCACTAGGTCAAAAGGCAGATCCATTTTTAGTTTTTTGAGGTATCTCCACACTGCCTTCTATAGTGGCTGCACCAACCTGCATTCCCACAAATAGTGCAAAATGGTTCCTCTTTCTCCATATTCTCTCCAGCACTTGCTTTTTGATTTATTGATGATGGCCATCCTGACTGGTATGAGGTGGCATCTCATTGTGGTTTTAATTTGCATTTCTTCGATGATTAGAAATCATCAACAAAATAAAAAGACAACCATGAAAATGGTCAATACATCTGATAAGAGGTTAATATCCAGAATTTATAAATAACTTATAAAATTCAACACCAAAAAATAAACAATCCAATTTTTAAAAAAAGGCAAAGAACCTGAATAGACACTTCTCTAAAAAGGACATGCAGATGGCCAATAGACATATGAAAAGATGCTCAACATCACTAATCATCAGAGAATTGCAAATTGACTTGTTTAAGTTGACATCTGGCAGCTCAGCTATCTCTAGCTTACCTCTTGACAGTAGCTTTTCAATACGCTGTAATGGAAATAGCATCTCAAAGTCATCCAAAAATAATGTTCAGACCCAACACAGTGTTCTGCTTGCATATTGTCTTATTATGTATTATTATATCTCTGATTTATTCAGGATGTTTATCAAATTCCTCTGCCCATCAAAGGCTCTACCATTTGAAACTCACTACCTAGAGCAGGGGCGTCAAACTCATTTTCACTGGGGGGGTCACATCAGCCTTCAAAGGGCCAAATGTAATTTAAGGACTGTATAAATGTAAGTACTCTTTAACAGTTAAGTGAGAGTTCAGCACTGCCACCAGGTAGAAGCAAAGGTGCTGGGCTGGATGAAAACAAGGTGGAGGGCGGGATTCGGTCCATGGGCCTTGTGTTTGCCACCTGTGACCTAGAAGTAGGGCATGGTGCTTGGAGCCAGTTGTTTTAAAGTTCAGTTCTGCTTTTTACTTCATATGGGAATAACTCACAAAAAAATCTATGGACCTTAATCCCCATATCTTTATTATAATGACATAATGTTACTAATACTAATATTTCAAAATAATTTTGAGAATTAAATATAAAATGATTGTTGTAACCCTTTTTGAAAATTCTACAGTCTCAACTTTTTTCTTTTTTTTTCTTTTTTAAAAATATTACTAGACTTCAACTTCAGTAACCTTTTTTTTACTTTCCTTCCTTTTTTCATCTCATTATATAGAGGCTCTCTCCAAAATAAATCATTAAGCTTTCCTAAGTTTTCTCTCCACTGTCTTGCTCTCACGTTCTAAAGAATGCAACATTCTATTGAAATCTCTAAAAATGTTATATTTCAATATAAATGGTCAAATTAAACAATCCAGAATCCAAGGACTGCCCCAATAGGAAAATCTATTCTACTGAACTCTACTAAAACTGTTTTATTAGTAGTAAAATTATTTTTAAATTCCTTATCCTTTTCACAAAATATTTTACAAACAAATTTTCATGTATACTTTTTTTCTTTTTCCTTCTTCTTTCTTTTCTTCTCCTTAGTTTATCTCTCTGTCCTTTTTTTACAGCTGCTGCACACAGTGTCTGATCATGAGCAACACGGGTTTCAGAGATGCTCATCCTCTTTCTGGCGTAGTAGTGGTGGCCCACCTCCCTGTCTAAATGTCTCTTCCATTACTGTCACTCCTGTCAACTCCACTGATTCCAGACTGTCACTGGGACTGTTAATACCACCACCTTCTAAATGTGGCCTTCCCAAGCCAATCAGTGAGCGCAGCATTCCGAGACCTCATGTAACTTTCTAAACAGAAAATTATTTTTATTATCCCACTTATTTTCTTTAATTCTGCTATAATGTGCTATTTATATAGTAGTGAATATACAGCTATATTTTGAAAATTGGGATGTAGTCTGGGGCCTTTGTATGCCATTTTTGCTTCCATCAGTTACCTGATATCTGAGAGTTTTAGATTGGGAAAGTAGGTTATTGGTGATATTGGTAAAAGCAGTTTCAGTCGATTCAGTGCATAAAGAGTGAAGTCTAGGTTGATGTGAGTTGAGAACTGAATGAAGTAAAAGTTAGGGCAGGAAATGTAGTATCTTTTTCAAGGCACTTACTTAGGCTTGGAGGGAAGAGAAAGATGAGAGGCTGGAGGAGTAAAGAGGGGACAGAGTGAAGGCATTTTTTATTGTTTTATTTTTAATTACCATTGAAGTTTGAGTATCTTTATATTGTGAAAAAGATGAGAGATGAGGAGGCCAGTGGAAATAGAGGAATGAGACATTTAGGACAAGAACATTCCTGAATAGGAGGAAAGTTGCCTGGAAGCCTTTGGATAGACAGTATTTGTGTTAAAGGAAGCAGGTGTTAAAAAAGGGAGACGACAGCAATTTTCCTGCATGAAAACGGGTAGTAACAATCATGTGAATGGCGAATCCATCTCTCTTTACACAGAAGCAGCTTTATTTTTCTTCATTGCTTTCATCTGTGAGTCAGAAAAATAAATGTATTTTGAAAACTCTCATTTTAATATGAATCACTCTTAAGTAATCTCTATTCATGCTCTTATAGAAAAAGAAACTTTTTCCTCACTATCCCTCTCTAAAACAGCAATTCTTTACTTTTATTACTATTATTTTTATTTTATGGATTACGTGTGTTTTCTATATGTTTCCCCCTAAATGACAATCAAAGTGATGACTATTCATTCTTACATTATGTTCTGGCCCAGACTGACCCAGATAATTATTTTGATGGCATATTTAGTGATTATTAATTTATTTCACAAGGTAGGTATCTATTATAGAAAACTTGATGAAATCTTATTCAGGATAAAAGGCACAGCACTGAATCTAATAATTGGCTGTCATTTGTAGTTCTAAATACAAATGAATATATATCCTTTAAAAATTGAAAAAAATGTTTTCAATTGCATTTGTATGGTTATATTTAAGATGATACATCACTTACGTTTAATTATTTCTATTTAAAACATAATCTTAAGGAAAACACATTACTAAAATCATATTTTATATAGTTTCTAACATTTTCAATTATACAAATGGCAGCTTTTTCTTTTATATCTGTTTAGAATGGTATTTTCACTATGTTTGTCATCATCTTTGAGAACATTTTTGTAGAAACTTTCCATTGCTTTCTTGCCATTCAGTATTTAGTGTCACCTGTTGAACCATATGAAATTCCTAATATTTAACTATTTTTCATTCAAATGTATTTGTTGTTTTTATATACATTTTATATATGCATATGAAATATTTAGCATTAGAATGTATCTACATGAAATAGTACCCTAATTCATATTGTTTTCATTGCAGGCAGGCAGTGTGCCACCGAAGTCGCCCTCCACTGACATCTTTGATATGATCCCATTTTCTCCAATATCACACCAGTCTGCAGTACCTACTCCCAATGGCACACAGCCACCTCCCATACCCAGTAGATCTACTGAGATTAGTAAGCTTTCTAAACAAATTAATATTCTTTACTTCGTTTGTATACATTTTAAATACTTAATTAGTACTTTATGTGAAAGTGTATATCTTAATGAGCTCACTAAAATTTTTAATTACCAAAGTATTATGTTCATATATATTTGCCACACTCGGTTAATTATATTTTATTTTATAATTCAGAGTATACTATTAAGGTATTTGCATTTAAAAGTATTTTATGAAAATGATATTTTGGTATAGGGTTATTTACATTAAAATGCAAAGCACTTAATTATACTTTGATTTTGTTTTGGTGTTATATTTTTTATGTTTTAATTTAATTATTAAAAACAACTCCGATGGTAATTATTTTAATAATTTTAGACATATTTAATAGAGCTCATTCTAAACTTTTTGTTATTGTGGAGTATATGGATAATCTTAGTTGAAGAAATACATAAGTCTATGAATTCCATAATTTGTTTATTAACTTTTATGTAAGAGCTGTTTCTTTGATATCTAAAATGTTACAAACGCGTTAATTTTCTGATTTTCCTTCTATATATCTAGAAGGAACACAAAAATCTCTTTTTGATGAATTGGAAGGCATCTAACATGCTCATTTCCAATATCTCATCTCTGCGTTGTGCATCCTGCCACAGAACCTGAGAGAGTAGTTCCCAGTGGCCATGGTCAGTCATGACGTCCAAGGGCAAATTGAAGAAAAGAGAATTTAACATAATGTGCTGTATTGCATCCTCTCTGGTTCACATTAAACCATTTTCACTGTAACTCTGAAGTTTTAGCTTAACGCTTTAAAGTTTGTCAGATCCCATAGTTGATTCATTTTCCCCTGTAGAACTTAACAAAGTATTTTGCACATGTTAGGCATTCATTAAATTTTAGAAAACTAATTTATAAATATGAAGTAATGACATTTGGAACCTTAAAAATCAGTTTATGTAAATATTCAATACTTCATAAGTTGAAATATATATATATTTGTGCATATATATATTGATATATTTTTTGACAATACAAGGTTACTCTATAATACATACATGATCATGTTTTTAGAAAACGTTACCAATATCTTGATATTGTAATGGGATAGTTTTGTCCTTGAAGGTCCCACAACTCTTCCTTTACTGCTGTTCTTACTTACTTGGACTTCACCATAAGTTACTCATTCACTTATGTAATTCAGTGGGCATTTGTTTAGCATATACACTAGACTTAGGTTACATACTGGAATTTGAAATATAAATTAGCAACATATCCATGATGGAGGCTTTTAATCCAAGTCAAAAGATAAATTGAAGTGAGTAAATAAATTTTAAGATATTTGGAAGGAATAATCTATCAGGATAGTAACTGAGACTTCAAAATCAATTATGGTTTAGGATTTTAGAACAAATGTTTTTAATGGGGGAAAGCTAAGGTAGAGAAGGAGTAAATAATGAGTTCTGTTTTAGACATCATTTGAAGTAGTCAAATGGTATAATGGGATTTATCACCTGAAGTTAACACCTTGCTGCCTTGTTAATTGTCTGCCTCTCCTAAGCGCCAAAGTTTAATATGTCAATAGATAGAAAGACTAGATAAATAAATGATAGATAGATAGATAGTCCTGGTTACCCCTTACTGCCTATACTGACAATTTAAGGAAAAAATCCTCAACTTGTTTTTAATAGTAAAATTGTCTGAAACTCTAATCCAGTAGGGTTTTGGTAATAGGACTTTTTCTTTAGATCTTAAATATGTTCATTCATATATTTTTCATTATTTGCTAAATACGTAAAAACAGAAACCTGTAAGATTTCTCCTGAGTTTCTCTTTTTTACTATATGAGAACCCTGCTAGTTCTCCAGAACATATTTTTGACCTTTGAATATGTATAGACTTTAATTAATTCATTTAATACTATGTTCCCTGATTGACTCTAAATTCCATGAAGGAAAGAACTTGATCCTTTCTTACTACTTTAATCCTAACAAAAATTACCTAGCAAAATGCATGGCATTTAACATGTGTTCAATAAATATTGAGTGGATAAAGGAAAGAATTACTGAGTGAGGTATTACCTAATAGTTTATTCTTTTACTTTTACATTAGACTTAAATAATTTTAATATTACTAATTGCATAACAGATCTTTTTATTAGAAATTGACTTATGTGACATTTTGTTATAAATTTTAAATTCTTCTGAGCTGACCAAAATATGTCATAGAGCTCTGTAATGTTTATTAATTTATTGATATAATGATACCAATACATTAATATGTAAATGTAGTAGCTTCTTAAGTTGTGGGGGGGTCAAGAACCCTTGAGAGTATGATAAAAGTTATGAAGCATTTCAGGAATGTCAGAGATCCCTTTAAGCCCATTTGAAATCTTTGGCAATTTCGAGTGCCGACTTCAAAAAAATCTATGTAATGAAAATCTCTGTAGCTCTGATCAGCAGTTCTTTCTCTTTATTAATTCATTTTTTGACCAACATCTGCCATGTGTAAAGCATTGTTCAGTGTGCTTGTGGAATGGTGGTAACCAGGCTACTCCTCTAAAGAAAAGTTCCTCTTGTTCTCAAAATTCTGGTTGATTGCCCAAGCAACATCAGACTGAGAAAATACATCATAAAAACAATAATATTGATAAGTTATATAAAAGATAGCAACAAATTTCCACATGTTTAGGTGACCCTGGCTTATTCCTTTTGTTCTGGTATAACTGTGGGTAGTGTTCCTTTCACTCTTAAAAGTGTCTTTATTTTGGGTGATAAAATATGCCCCTCTTATTTGTACAGCACTTACCAGAACTGGAAACTTCTGAGCATTTATATCAGATTACATAATATATGAATCTGGCCCCCCAAAATGTTGACTGGAGACTCAAGTATAGTGGGAGTGGAAGAGTGAGGCTATCACAGAACTTAAGCAGCAGAAATGTTATTCCTTACATAGCATTGAATTTAGAGACTATAGTTATAGTTTCCTGAAAAATGAAAGTCTTACTACGTTTTAAATTCCGATGTCCATATATCATTTGAAATTCTTTTCTAGTCAATTAAGGCTTTATTTGAATTAATTCAGAGGAAAGAAATTTCTTAACCATTTTTTAAACTTTTAAAATTATGTAATAGGAAAGCTTTATCAATCACAGACATTGATTTTAACTTGGACACTTCTTTTGTAATAAAAAATGCATATTTTATATGTACAAAGAGCTTTTTGATATTCCATGGCTGCTATTTTTTAAATGACTTTATTGTTGTTCAATTACAGTTGTCTGCATTTTCTCCCCACCACTCTCCCCAACCCCAGCCAAGCCCACCTCCCTCCCTTGTTTCCACCCTCCCCCTTGGTTTTGTCCATGTGTCCTTTATAGTAGTTTCTACTTGTTTCTGGGCTAAGAAACATTTAAAAACAACCTGTTTCATTGTGGTTATTTAGAAAGATGAAATAATTTCACACTACGTGAGATGATGCTCCTTAAATTTTTTTCTGAGATAAAAATAGATGAACTATGAGTAAAAGTACATACTAATCTAGTCAGTCCTACATATTGCTTCATGATTGTGTTGGCAAAGTCATCAGTAAATGAAGTAGGAAAGTCTCATTAAGTAGCAGATTCACTTTAGTATATTTAAATTTCTTGAGTAAAATGTATGTATTATAACATATTAATCATCAAATATTTGGTGAATCTGATATTAAGAACCCTTAATTAAAGACACAGAAACATCTCTGGATAATAATTTTTATATCTAGTTTTAAATATCATCATAAAATGAATCTTTGCTTGCTTGTTGGCAATATAAGCTCAGGAAAGCCCAGAGTAAAGTATAACTGTGGATACTGGCTCATTTGGTCACGTAAGTATTTGTTTATATAATTCTGTCTTTTAAATATAACACACCCCAACTTCCTGTCATTCATATACTAAATCATTTTCTTCTGTTTAGAACGGGACCTGTTTGGAGCAGAACCTTTTGACCCATTTAATTGTGGAGCAGGGGAGTTCCCTCCTGATATTCAATCAAAATTAGATGAAATGCAGGTGACTATTTAACAAACTGACCCACAAATGCTTATTCTTTTTAATATGAGTTGCTATATACAAAAACTATCCTTTTCTTGAGTTACTATCAGTATAAAAACATACTTAAAATAATTACTTTAAAATAATGATACACATTTAAGTCCTAAAAATACTCCTCCACCTGCTAAGGATAGGTTTTAGTTTTGTCCTTAATGGTTTAATTTACAATAGTAATAAGATGATTCACATTTTTATATAAAACTACATGGATTCTAATTATTTATTTTGAAATCCAAGAATTAAAAGGTAATTAGACTAAAATTCAATCTCAGTCTTAACAATTATGAATTTCAAAATTGTGAATGGGAAGATGAAGGAAATCTTTGTAAGACTAAAAATCAGTCTCCCTTAAAACAAAGGAAGCATTGTATCTGTATTTCATGACTTTGGAGCTCTTACTAAAGAAAAACAAACACCCAGTAACAAGTTTTTTATGAACGTAGTTAAGTTGGGTTTTTGTTCCTTATCTCCCTTTTATTTTTCAATTCTGATTTGATCTGGAAGTTTGAAGATACTGATTTTAAGAACTCCATAGAATTGTCTATGATTAACAAATGTTCTTATAAACACTAAACACTTCTGTTACTATTTTCACTTTATATTTTGGTGAAGTTATTTATTATATGCTAGTTTTTATCAAAGATATATATATACATAATCTCTTAGAATGCAGACAGAAGCAAATTATATGAAGCCGAAGCTGATTTAAAAGAGGCAGAGGAGTCATTTTTATTTATTAACAGCCTCTATGCTTCATTTCCCAGAAAAAGAAAATTAGTTATTATGTTCTGATCTTCTAACATACATAACACTCCTTCCTAGAAAGATAATACAAATACCCATCTGTTTATTTTGGACTGTACCTAGGAAGCAGTCTTACCTTCTAGGGATAATGTGATTTTCCTAGATGATATTATTTGGCTGAAACTAAAGCAACCAATATCAAACTTCTGTTGATTTTAGCATGTATGAATGACAACACAGTTTCCCCATCTCTTTGTTATATTTCAAATATTATGGAACTTTCACTTAAATGGTGCATAATAATTTGTCAGTGATGCTTTATTTCTTTCATACAAAATCAGTTGCTTTCCTTTTTTGATTAGGCTTGTACTGTTTGGGCCTAGTGCTTTTGTACGGACAAATACAGATATGGGCACTGATGTGGTAGTATTTGTTCTCAAGTGTTCCACAAACCCTGAAGAGTACTTTTCCATTAATGTTTTTTAGATTTTCACAAAATTAAAAATTTTTCTATAGATTTTTTAAGATAAGATTTTTAAAAGATAAAAATCTTACAACATTGGATTTTTGTAAGAACTCATTTGAGAAACACTGTATTGGAATGAGTTCATGATGTGTTAGTCAAATAATGTTAATCTGTGGTATTTTTGTTTTTATTTCAGTTTTGCTATTTCTAATATTTTCTTAATGCTTTTTTTATTCCTTTCTGCTTTCATGGTGGGTAGCGCCAGAGATGGTTGGTATATATTTTCATAATAATTTTAAACAACATAAATTTTTACAGCTAAAGCCTTATTATTTGCATGCTTTATTTAATAAATATTCAAATAGCTGTTTCATATGGATTTGTATGATTATTAGTTGTGTTTAAGGAGATCTGATAACCTGTATTTTAAAGTATTTTTTTGATGACTTAGTCACTAATATGTTGTCCACTTAATTGCTTGTCATTTCTATGAGCCCAGGATTTACTTGCAAGGTGACTTTAACTAAAGTAAAATAATTTTTCTATCTAAAGTTTATAATGGCTTTTGTTATTAATCTTGTTAGTCTAATTAATCTAACACACTTTAGCTACTATTTTTACCTTTGCAAGTACGTAAAAAATTTATACACTATAATGGCTTATATAAACCATTGCATTGAGTCAATAAGACTACTGAAGTATTTGGTTTTCCTTGTTCATTTACAGAGGAAATCATTGAAACACCTCATACGTGAACAATTTAATCAGAAAGGTTAAGCCATGTTTTATTATAAATTGGTAGAAAATTAGATATTTATCTGAAATCTGGGGGGGCAACGTTACCTGCAAGTCTCCCCCATCCACCATTGATGAAAGTAAAACTACCAAGACATGATCCGCTTGGGAAGGAGAGGTGGCCAATTTCACAGAGAAGAAAGGCCAAGAGCCCCTTCCTCAACGGCTTTTATTGGGTTGTAATACACAGGAATACAGGTGGCAAGGATCAAACGTAGATAATATTTCAAAGAAATCTGAGGGCTTAGTCTGAGTCAGTGTCTGTCAGGAAAGGGGGTTGCAGAAACTTTGGGAGACATACTCATTTCCTGCTTGGACCCTCAACATATGAATAAAAGCACTCTTAGCAAAGCAGGTTTCACAGGACTTGTAGGAATTCTTTCTTATGCCCAATCACCCCAGATCCCACTCTAGCTGGCATGAGGCTGCACCGCCTCCCCCATCACAGGTTTTCAGGCTTAAGTGAATTAAAGCCAGAAATTCCTTCTCCCAGAGGACATGGGGACTTGGGCTATGTCAGAATAGCTCAGAGGCGAGGGTCCATCACTCCCTCTTTGTTGCAGTCCCCCAAGTCCTTCCACAAAGGCCTCCTAAGTAATCGTGTCTGGCTTAGGTTGCCCCTCTCTGTGAGGAGTATTACCCATCATCGACTAACCAATCATGCTTTGGGGGCAGTGGGCGTAAGCAGGGGCAGCGTTTGCTACCAGAGACAAGGTCTGTCTCCTTAGGCTCACATTCTGGATGTCGCTCACTCAGCTTTAACCATGGGGGTTAGTTACAACTCCTGAAAGCAGGCAGAGCGGTTCCCTACAGAAATCAATAATTTAGTTTTTCCATTTAATTTAAACTGCTGGGTACATGTCACCAAAAAGCAAATCAGTGTAATAGTATTGATAGCCTGGAAGTGTACCGAGTAAGTTATAATAACTTAATACATTGAAGAAAAAAGCATGGCAAGTCAATGAATGGTGAAAGAACTATGCATTGAGTGGTGCTAAGTCAACTGGTTAATAACTTGGGAGAATCAATATGCACCAGAAACAGCAAATATTCAAATAAATTTTATAAGCATTAGGTAGTTTAAAATGTTTGAAATATAAGTGAATATTGATCAAACTTTTTATATGGTGAGACATTTTTATAAGGGCATATTTTATAGGAACATATAATCTTCTACAGAAGAACTTATATAGTTTTTTTTTTTTAATTTTCCCTCTAAAATATAACTATATCAGCCCTGGCTGGTCTGGCTCAGTGGATTGAACCCTGGCCTCCAAACCAAAGGGTCACTGGTTCAATGCCCAGCCAGGGTACATACTTGGATCACAGGCCAGGTCCCCAATAGGGGTCACGTGAGAAGCAACCACACATTGATATTTCTCTCCCTCTCTTTCTTCCTTTTCCTCTCTCAAAAGTAAATAAATAAAATCTTCAAAAATATATATAACTATATCACATATATATGAATAAAGTAAGTAGACAAATGATTAGGAAACTAAACAATCAACATACAAATCAGAAAAAAAGCCACACACATTAAGTAAAGAATTATCAGTGTGTTTTGACCTAGCAAATTACAACTATTATTTTCTTAATAATAAACAGCACTGGTGCAATGTGGTGAACCAGCACTCGAAGTCATTGCTGCACAGTGTCAGCTCACAGCACTCCTGTAGAGGGCAATTTGTTATTAAAACTTGTATTGGCACTTTTCATCAAAAGTTAATATTATCTATTCTGAGGTGGAAAACTATAAGTGTAGGAAATATGAAGAACATCTAGTCAGCCTTATTAGCAACTGTAAAATAATGGAAGCTATTAAATCATATTAAAAATGAATAGAATCTTATATAGTCAGTAAATTAGTTTAATGTGGATTCAAAATAATAATAGAAAGTTTGTTTTGCTAATATTAAAAACATAGGAAATTCTATATACTATACATTAGGCATTAATAGAAAGTTATATGTAGTATAATTGTGTTTTACATTTTTATCAAAATTGTTTTTAAAAATCTATAGATGGAAAAAAAGGAGACTCAAAAGACCTTAATCGACATGTTCACAATTTGTGTACATTAATGTTTTTTCCTTTCTTAATGTGCATCTTCCCTATTTCAAAAAAAAAAGAATGCAATTGGGCAAAATATTCTATACAAAAAACATATTAATATATTAATAATAAAATTATTTTTGTGTGGTGTTAGTTTATGATAATTTTCATGACTACATAAGTTAAATAAAGTCTCGTTTTTATTCAGAACCTAGACAGATTCAGAATCTGTTAAACTATGATTTACAAAATGATACCTAGAAGAGAAGGTCAGATAATGTATGAGAAATTTTATTGTAGGAGAAATAACAACGTGTCTGTTCATTGGGATGATTAAAATAATCTAGGGAACTTTGAAAGGGTCCTTATAAAGTTACCATGGAGATCATCTTGTTGCCTTTGTGTTGCCCGTTCACTTTTGGAAACTAGTGAATGCGGTGTCAAGAAAGGCATAAACTGAACACTTTGCAGCCCTTTCCTGCCTTTGAATATGATGTCTTTGGTGTAGGAGCTGCACAAGTAACAGTGTAAAAAAAAAGAAGAAAAAAAAAAGAGATCATCTTTTAAGTGAGAAACTTTTTTAAAATATTGAAATTACAATTGAGCCCTATTTATTTTGATTACTATTCAACCTTTTAAATACTAATAACACATTGAGAAATAGTATTTTCAGGGCCATTGATGTGATACTGGTTTAATTCAGAATGAACTGGCAAAATTTAAAAAACACTGTATGGTATCAAACTTTTCCAAAGCTAATATATATCCTAGTTCTCTGTCTGCCTATCTATCTATCTATCTATCTATCTATCTATCTATCTACCTACCTACTATATAGCAAAATATTCTTGTGATAAGAACACACTTTGAAAAAATTACAGTAAGTACTCTGACATTTGCTTAACTGAATGTAATTTGTATTCTAAGTACTGGGAAGAAATTTTGAGAAACCTTTACAGTGATGACATTGCTCTGCATTGTCTATGCCGTAGGTAGAATGAGCACTCCGTGAACATTACTAGAGAATAAGGTGTGGCTTGCGGTTTTATAACAATCTTCTTCCTCCTGTACTACATTAGGAATGGTTACATTGGATTTGTAGTAACATATGTACTTTTAAATACCTGTTCTAAATGAATGTAATTTTGGGAAATGCAAATAGATACACCATTACCACCACTACCATTACTACCAGTTAGATAGTAGATACAATCTAATTAAACAAAACACAAAGCAAAACAGGGACAAATCCTTATTTTTTTAGAGGGTTTTTTCTTTTCTATTTATTTTTGCTAAGGAATAGACTGCTGTCTACATTTCATGTGCCAAAAATGTGTCGTGTGCCCACCCCAGACTACAGGTGATCTCAGTGAACAAAATTTCAGTTCTGTAAGAAAGTTAGAAATATCTTTAAAATACATAATATATATTTGTACATAATGTGATTTGTATATGAATATGTATACATATATATATATGAAAAAGAGAGAAGAGAAACGTTGCCTTGCAGCTTCTACAGGAAAACCCAAAACGTGGGCTCCAGTTCCATTGGTCAGTGGGAGTCCGTGCTTTTCCTCTCCCCTTTGTAGGTCAGTGAGCAAAGATTTACATACAAATGTGGGGACTGTGATAGCTTATACTTCTACTATCTGTCATGCAAAAAAAGAAGACAACTTGGAGTCCAGAAGGAAAGGTTTTCTTTGTTGTTGTTGTTGTTTGCCATTAACTTTTAGCTCAAAGCCTAAGGAATAAAAAAAATGAAGACATTTTGTAACTATATCAGAGGCAACTTCATTTCCAAAAACATCTAAAACATGCTCAGTGGAGTGGGATTTGTGATGACTTCTTGCCACTACAGGCAGACCTAGTAAAGGAAGCTTTCTTGGTGACAGTGTCCTGCCATTCTTTCTGTGTTCCGCCTAGGATGTGACATTGCATTTTACTGAACGGATTTTATCAGGATCCAAACAATGGTAACCAAAAAGAAAGGTGAAAACTAGCTGGCTGTGTTGAACCAGTGTCAGTTTGAAGTTTAACTATCTTACTTAATATTACTTAGTTTTAAGTAAATGTCAATCATTAAAGGCAACAGAGAAGAATTTAAGAATGGTGAAGACTTTACTGAAAAAATGTTTACAACTTAAAACTGCAACTTATAATTCCATATATTTAAGTTTTTTTTCTGTCTCTCATGCAAGCTAACTTCACATATATTTTAAAAATGTTTAATTCTAATAGTTATAAAGATCTGCTTATATGCTTTATATATTGGTATACACCAATATATAAAGGATATACACCAATATATAAAAATTTGACAAGCCAACACTTGACATTTAATTATTTCTTAGTTAATCAAAGCATGAAGATTTCAACTTCAGTTCATAGTCTCTTTGGTGTACTGATTCTTTTTTTTTTTTTTGCTGTGAGTATTTTCTATTTTAATTATTTTACTCTATTTTACAGGAGGGGTTCAAAATGGGACTAACTCTCGAAGGCACAGTATTTTGCCTTGACCCACTAGACAGCAGGTGCTGACGTCGAAAAACAGGTTCCTTATTCATGTTAAATTTATTTCATCCACATATATATATAAATATATCATTCATTATTACTTTATAACAGGTCTTATACTTGTGCCAATAAATTTGTTAATATTTTCACTTTCTGAAATTTATTTCAGTAAAATATCCTCATACATTCACTGTTGCTCTGTAAAATTTTATTTTAAAAACAACTCACTGTAAAGTAAATCATCCTTTTATGTTCATTTCAGTTTCTATTATAGAAGAATTTGTAATCAAAAAACAAATTATCCAAATATCTATCGTGTGTCTGAGTTCTAAATAGTTAGCATCTTGAAATATTGTGTTCATATATACCAGGCTGCTAGATTATGATTGATTTTCTAAAAGCCATACCTTAACAATACCTTTCAATGTCCTAAAGAGACATACCAATTTCAAACCTAGTACCGTATTCAAACTAATAAACATGTTACCATTCATTAGACAGATGTCATTTTATTATGAAATGTAGTTTCATATCATTAGAAAAACTTAAACTTTGAATACAATGCCACCAGATCATTTTCAGCAGGTTAAATAACAAATATATAAATTCTTACAATAATTAAATCAAATGTATTTAGAGTATTAGTAAATGCAGGGTAATAATGTTAGTTATCATCAGTTATACTCTAAATATTATATTTATTTCGTAAATAAATATTGTGGAAAAAAGAAAATCTGCTATTTACAAAAAATTTAACATTTAATTTTAATGAGATAATTTCCATTACCAAACATGTAATCGAGTCTCATGTATCCTGAAAAAGCATTTGAAAAGTATGCTATCTCTAGTTTCAGTTTGTTCCTATTTACTTTACCAAATATATTTTTGTCTCAAAGTATTGTGATGCCTCATTAGTTTTGATACTCTAAAATCTATGACAACTATTCATGAATAATCAGTTATTTAGCAAATATAATATTTTATTGTTGAAGTTAGAATCTCATTTTTTTATAAAAATCAACTTGCCTTTAGTTTAGTTTTTAACATAAATATTTTTACTCAGTACAACAAAAATTTATGGTTAAAACTTATAATTTGATTCATTACATTGTCAAAAAAATTAATTAATGAGTTTAGATTGGGGGTAGATCTCAAAACAGATTTTACTTTCTTTTTAGTCTTGGAAAGTTTTTTTCTAGTGCTAAAGACACATTTTCACTAGACAAAGACATTAAATAGCTTATGCAATGTTGTATTTGTATGTTTCTTCATCATGTTCTTTGATATATATAAGCCTTGTTGTTTGTTTTCTGCTATCTGCTAAGTTGTATCTTAATTAGAAGACAGTATATGTTTCATAAAAAAAGTCTTTATAATTTTGTTGGTCATACAGTATTTTGGAATTTGTATAATGAGGACGCTTAGAAGCCATATCAGTGGCTTTTTTTAACAGATAGAATTTGTATTTTTATTGTACTTTAAAAAGCTTTATGTAATAGGTATATATTTAGTGGCCATTTATTATCAATGGTAACATAATAGAATACTTAAGATGTATTTGCACATTTAAGATTATTACTTTACCAATTTTTAATGGTAATCGGTTCTGCTATGGGCATGGTTAAATAGTCCACAATTGGTCATTACTTATGAGAATTTATTTCACCGATGCATTTTTATGAAGATCCAGTTGAAAAGTGTATTTCTATGTAAACTCAATGATATGTTTGATTTTGCTGAAAATAAATGATTTGAATTAAATTAAACTGTATAATTTACTCATTACATAATCTCTAGCTAAAACACTTTCTGAAGCTAATTACGTGCCAGGTATTTCTGGTCATACATTGGAGACAAAAGAAAGAAAGGGGCAGATAGAAGAAAAAGAAAGAATTTTAACTTCATTTTTTAAATTTATTTTAATTGTTGTTCAAATACAGTTTTCTGCCTTTACCCCCATCCTTAACTTCATTTCTTACAGCCCACACACATTTTAGCCGTATGAACAAATATCATTCAGTTGTGAAAACAATGGACTTGATCCTGCTGGTGAGAGAGGTCGGAGTTTGGTTACTTTCACCAGAAGCATCTGGTGCAATAACCATATTATGAAAATACACCTTTTCAAAATTAAGAGTCTTTGTAGCCTTGTAATAACAATACACGTCTTGGCTGATTGCCTTAAAAAGTGAACTCGATAATAGGATTCGAGTTGTGGTTAATGGGCTATTATGAAGAAGCTTTGAACTTATTCAAAACATAATGTTAAGTATTTTAAGGACACACAGGATGTAACATGCACCGCTTTGCCCACCAATGAATAATTCATCAATCCATTCAATGAAATTCATTTATTACTCTATGTGAATAACATGTATTACAATGGATAAGCAAACATCTTGTCGGTTTGCTAGCAGACATTGTTAAATTGAAGGTGTCAGGAGCCCTACATTTTATATTTAACTTAAATCTGGGTACTTAGCACTGCCTTGTGTCTGTAACATTAGTTATCCAGTTGTGAAGCTTATCAGAACACGTGAATGACCATTTTCTTCTTTTCTTGTTTCTTCCATTTATTATTTGAAAAATTTTCAAAAACTTTTAGTCACATGATAGTAACTCATTTTCAGATAGAATTTCTAATAGATTTCATGTTGTTACATTTCTAAGTACTGACTTTTTTTTACTCTTTTAGATGTTTCTTAACCATGGAAAAAACTGGCTGTTAATATTTTTTGTTCCAGTGTTTCCATATATACTTCCAAATTCAATATTTATTCATGATTTTGGGTTTCAGCCTCTGTTAAATTACTTGAAAAATCTTGGTCTCGCCTTTGACAGCTAAATCGCAGACTCCACCTAAAGGACGCCCTTGATAAGCCGCTACCACACTGATGAGATGGGCATGGCTAATATCAGGTGGGGCAAAAGTAGGTTTACACTTGTGAGTGTGTGAGACAGAGTTTGTCCGTGTGTTATTATTTATTAATTATCGCATTCTTTTCCATACAAGCAGCTGTAAATCTACTTTCTCCCCACCTGGTATTGTCCTCAGACTCCTGTTGTCATGCTGGAAGGTCCTAACTTAAGCATCCTCTCCTTCCCAGATAACCTCAGCTGGATTTCTCAATGTCTATCTCACACGTTTGGCAAGAATAAACATACACTTATTCTTACACGTTTATTCCATGTCTTGATTTTATATAACACACTTTTAGAAATCCCTCCCTTAAAATATATTTGAATTCTACCCAAAGTGGGATTCTTTTACTCTAGTGAGAAGACCACCTCCTAAAACAGTTTATGATTTTCTATTTTTTTTACTTTCAAGTAAGTTTTTATGAATTGTGGATATTTAAATAGCAAAAGAATTTACCATTCTCTGGATTCATTTCTTTTCACCCTAGTTCTTGGATTCCAAGACACACCATCTCAAGATCATAGTTAAATATACAAAAGGTGGCATCTTTAAAAAGGGGTTAAAATTAAAGTCTCATTTCAATTTTTTCTGGCATTGCATAATAAAGTAAAATAGCTGAATTTCTTATTTCTATATCACTAACATTAGATTTTGTGTCAGTTACCAATATGATTGCATCACTAAAAATTTGCAGAAACTTGCCTTATTAACCTTAGCTAAATTTTGCCATTCCTTCAGATGCACACTCAAAATTAGTCGAGGCAAGCTTTTCCAGTTTGCAAACAACTCTATCTATGACCACTTTGGAACAAGATTAAGGTTCTTAAATGTATGTTAATTCATTAAAAGATCACTAAGTGGAAGCTGTAGTTATCTTCTAACATTATCAATTTATCAATAATGTGTTTTACAAAAATCCATAAAGTAATCTCTTTAGACATCTTTAAAATTTTATAATGTCTTTTTTTAAACTTTGATTTATTACCCAAAAATTTTGAGGGGAGGATGGTCTTGACATTTTTGTATCCTCTCTGGTGCCCAGCACAACACTTTATTCCTACACTTTTTAAGTGTAAAAGGTTGAATATATTCCCTAGCATGCTTCTTGGTAATGATGTGAACTAAAACTTCTTATGCTGTCTTTGAAAGAAAAGTACAACATGCATTCCAAGTAAATGTCAGAAGATAACCACTTTGCCCTTCTAATGAAATCTCTACCATTATTTTAGCTTTAATCTTACCACAATAACAATTTGCTAAATAAAGATCTTTACATATGCTAAGAGCATCTCTCAACCACCACAGAATGAATCATAGACTAAGGAAATCTGTCTCAACTGAGGGAAGAAGAAAAAGCAAAGGACTATTGAGCTTCAACGAGGCTATAAAGAGTCAAAGATGAATGTTGTATAGTTACGGGACATTTCATGTTCTCAAAGGAGTGGAGAACTCTTATTTGGTGAGCATGTACATTGAAGGATGATAGCTAAAAACTCAAACTGTATCTTTCTTTGAATCTCATATTGTAATCACACAGTGTACCTTGGTTTTAAATATTTTTAAATTCATTTACTTCTCAACTTTTTATTGTCTTCTTACTTCAAATGACATTTTACAAAAACATGCTGGGGCTCTTCCCAGTTGAGTGCTCCCTCCCCTCTGTCTGGCCAGGCTGCTATGTTCTAGTCTGTTCCAAAGGTCACTTGTTCCAGTTGAAATAGCTGTCTGGATGGACTGGAAATAATCCAGATTCTGGTTGTTCCCGCAAAGAAAGCAAAGAAAGATGTTTGTGTCTTGGCTACATTTTGAAAGAAAAAAATTAAAAACTTTATGGCTAAGTCTACTAATAGATTAAGAAAATTAATGTAATTCTGAAACTAACTTAAAATTGTTATTACTTTTTCAGTGATTTGCATCTTTTTGATTTTTGTATACTTTTCCAAATCAGTTGTTTATTATCAGCATCATTTAGTAATTGGTATTAATTAGTCAAGAATTTATACGTGTATGCAGAATGATTTTTGACAGAGTCAGCATGTATTAATTTCTTATACACATATTTCACTTAGCTATATAGTTTCCATTTATTTTATTTGTGGTATCTGCTTTAATTAGAGAAATAAGCTTAATGAACACTAGACGGTGTAAGGAATGAGAAATTATAGGTAATGGGGGTAATCATAAATATTCAGAGATATCAACTAAGCCACACTTGGCAACCTGACTGTGGACAGATATATGACCTGTTCATTTTTAAAACAGTTTGGACCATCTGCAGGCTAGGGAGTAGTAAGTGTGATGCGATTATGTAAAAAGCTCTTTCAACAGTGATTCATCTTTAATTTCCTCTGGCTCTCTGATAATGCCTACAGCTTTCTTTTTCTTTTCCTCTACATAAAAGGTGGTAAATAGGAAAGTACCTGAGGATAAGATGATTCTTGATTCATGACTTCTGCCATCAAGGGGAATTAGAAAAATAAATCTTACTTTCTTAGAGTTACTTGTTGGAAAGTTTCTAAACCATACTTTACTTAAATTCTTAAGTAATTTTTAAAGATTACTTCTATAAACTATGTTTGCTTTAGAATATCTGAGTTTGATCTAAAGGGAACCACAGAAGATTTAAAACTTCATACTTTGATGTTACACTCAACGGTTACAGCTTTAGTCTGATCTTCAACTTTGGGAATGTCTTGTAATAGGGTTCATGAAGTTCATGCACATTAGCTATTCTTGGCATGAGAGAGAAGAAAGCCCTCCAAGTAACCCAAAGCTTTTTAAAATTGTCATAGAAACCACATATTTCATCTTTTATTTACATACTAGCTATAAATAAATATTGAATCAATGGCTCCTAGGTAAATAGTGCATTAGCTGGCACTAACCCTGTCAAAGAAGACAGTAGACACCACTAAACTGTCTCGGCCTTTGTGTCTGTTTATTATTTCAAAACCTTCATAATAAAGTTGAACGCAAAGCAAAAGAATTAATCTAAGATTCTATCCGACTAGGGACATGTTGGAAAGAAGAGCCCAGAGCATATTTGCACTGGAGAACTAGAGCCTATATTTGCTTTAAAAATATTAACAATTTGTCACATTTTCAGGATAACTTCAAGATAAATGATGCCTGCCTCGAAGAAATTCAAAGGCACCTATCTTTCCAAATAAATGTTAACCTTGAAAATACCATCAAAGACATGTTACAATGTATCATAATTCTGTACTGAAATATCAAAACAAATGTAATCCGAAATATGTTTACATATAGAAAAATGTTTAGATTCACAGAGAATTTGTTGTATTTTTGGATTTTAATGGAATCTGCTTGTATGTGCTTAGGTTTTAAAACGAAGCTTCATGTTTGAGATGTGAATATCAGGCTACCTTCCTGAAATGTATTCGAGTAATGTATGTGTATGTGACATATACTGAGTTGTCTCCTCTGTGTAGTGTTTATGGTAAAGTTTTTCTTATTGCTGTTAAGTATAAAGAAAAGAAAATGTGGAGAACATGAAAATTCCTTGCATCCCTGTTAAATCTTCCAAAGTTAGCAATACATTTCTCATCACTCTGTATCCCTTCCTTAAGCCTTAATCATAAAGCTGAAACTGAAAAACAGCTGTCCCTGAAAACCACGCAAGACTCAAGCATTGATTTCTGCTATGCAAATTGATCAAATCTCTACAAACCTTTAAAAGACAGTGTACAAAAAAACAAAAACAAAAAGCCCTAAAGCAAAGTTAATTTTTTAAAAGCAGTCAGAATGTCTATCTAATCAAATAAAATTAATTAGAAAGTTGGTGGACAGAAAATACAGTGAATGAGACCATGGAAA